TAGTTTTCTATTTCACAAAAGCAGACATTAAATGTACGAGAGCGTTAAGATATTTTTGTATATTTTTAAAGAAAAAATTTTAGTACCAACAGTGTATTTGTTTTTATTTTGACAAAAAATAGACACTTAAACGTAAAAAAAAAAAAAAAAAAAAATTTATCATACAGCAGCATATTTTGTTTTCATCAATAAAACCACCATGAAGACATATCCAAATTTGATCATTTTGGTAGTAAGAGGAGCCTGGAAAAAGACTGAAAAATAAAAGCAAATACACTGGAGTTAATTAAATTTTATCTTTTACTTAAAAAAAAAAAAAAAAAAATACAAAAATTTCTCATTTTATTTTTTTATTTTTTATTTTTTTTAAAAGAAATGCAAGGTGCCACCAAACTATTTGCCTGGAGAGAGAGAGAGCATATATTGTGTGTGTGTGTATATCGTTAACGAATTTGAAACTTTTAAAACCATTTGTTTTGCATTCAACACCATCACTTAATAAGACACCGGAGGTGTTGAAACAAAATAGATATTTTTGTAGTGATTTTATAAAATGTTTATGTTATAAATTTTCTAAATAAATAATTATATATATATATATATATATATATATATATATATATATATATATATACTAGTTTAAGAGCCACCCTATTGTTATGGATTTTTTTTTAATTTTTAAACCATTTTTTTATTTTCTGTAGAAAATTAAAATATAAATTGCCAAATGTTTGAGGTCTTTTAGTTTTTGCAGACCGTTATCAAATTTTTTGTTTTGTGCTTCATCAGTTTCCTCTTTCTTCAAATATTACACATTCACATATCATTTACACTATTTACATTGTTCAGATTGTTGTCCTTATCTTTATTGTCATATTCACAATGTTTCGGCCATTATACAATTCAGCCTTCTTCAGGATCTGCCTATATTTCTGAGATAAGGTATTGTAATTATTTACACTATTTACATCGTTTGGACTATTGTCCTCATCTTTGCCATATTCATGATGTTTCAGATGCTCACAGGACAGACTGGCAGCAACAGGGACAGAGGGAAAGAAAATGTAATCCATCAAATGAACTCTAAATGGTGGGTAGAACTGTGTGTTAGTGGGATAGTAAAAAGATAAATATTGCTAAGAGCTACAGAGGATATGAAGTTGTGGAGAGCCATGATCACTCACATCCTGAAGGGACATGGTACATGAAAGAAGAAAAAACATTCCGGATTTAATTAATTTTATTTTATTTTATTTATTTACTTTATTTTTTAGCGTGTTCCGTTTCTGCATTCTTGTATGAATTTATTCATATGTGTGGCATCCTTCGGTCTCTGGAGACTATGATTCTCTGCCCAAAGAGTTCTGCCTCAGCTGCCGATGGTTGCACAGCATCTGTTATGGCTGTACAGGCTCACATGGGAGTGATGGTCTCAATTACAATAAATGCATGTGAAGATGTCCTTCCCCAATGTTGGCATGTTGTTTTATTTACTTTGAGCTTGCTTCTTCCTGACAGCAAGCACCCATTTTGTCTCTCCTAACTCCAGCCCTAAGTGTAAATCATGTCTTCATCATCATGAGCAATCATTGGCAACCATTTCCCACCTCTCAATGCCCATGTCTATCACCTTCATGTTCCTTTTGCAGGCATCCTTGAAACAAAGATGAGCTCAACCTATATATATATATATATATATATATATATATATATATATATATATATATACATTTTCCTTGAAAGAAGAGGATGTATTCTGCTTTTGAAATTAAATTAATCAGTCACTCCCCAGTAATTTACCGTCACCTGAGGAGACACATTTGTAGTGTTGAAACATAACTGCAATTGTGTAGCGATTTTTTAACGTTTTTGTTTTTAATATCTTAAATAATATTCAGCTCTACTCTATATTGAACCCTCTTTTAAATTAAATGTTACAGAGAGTGGAATTATACTTCATTTGTTCTCATTTTACCTGGAGATATATATCTTCAATAATGTAAATCCAGTGGCCAGTTCCCCATACAGGAGGATCTTCGGAATCCTCCCATCAGTAGACTGTTGCTTTCTGTGTTTTACCACTGCAGTAAAATGATCCTGGAGTGTCCACTCTAGGTTGCAGGGCTTTATGAGAGTTTGGTGGTTGTCCATGCAGCATGTCTCCCCTCTCTACACCACCGATGTTATTCTAGAGAAAGGTAGAGTCCAATTGAGCACTGTTGCCAGAACAAAGTTCAACATAACATTGAGCTGTCTTAGGGGACTCTGGCTCAGTATTTGTTCTCCTGATGCCTTTTCCATAATTAGATATGGTTGCAAGGCAGTGGAGGTTTAAAATCAGAGTTTTCCTTTTCTTAGATGGACTACACTCCTGAGGTGAGGAGTTCCATCTACCCAAACCTGTATATGATAAAATTATAGTTTCAAGGTATGCTATATTCATGGGTAAAATTGCTCACTATTATAGTGTAAATATAAAAGTGGACACTGAGGTCAGCATCAAGCATCAACAGCCAATTTCAAGCTTGAAGACTGCATTCTATCATGAAACAAACTGCGTTACTTGATGTTCACCTCGGTGCCCACATATATTTCCTGTACTTTATTTTCAAAATGAACTTTGAACGATTTCTAGCATAGTTTCCTCTTTGTTTGAGAAGGATTATTTATAACTTGGAAAAGTCAATCATTAAAATTAATCGACAAACAATGATTATCGTTTTTTAATAGTATTTTCCTTAAAGAACATTTGCTGTGTAAATACACAGACATTGGTTGTTTTTTAATTAAACAGTATTTTTATTACTGTAATGTGGAGAAGGAGTGTGAATCGGACGATAAACAAACCCATGTGCTGCTATTGAGAAGAAAAAAATAATTAGTAAATAAACTTTGAGTTCAGAGATGCTAGAAGTATAGAGTTGAAGTAGACTTTAGAGGAATATATATATATATTCCTTCTAAAGTCTACTTCAACTCTAGAATATATATATATATATATATATATATATTTTTGAATAAAAAACAGACCACTTTAAGGTTCCATGTGATAAATTATTTCACCACAGCCCTTTTAAAGGGCTCTGGATCATCAGACTTTACTTCCAAAGTTTGAAATGAATAATGAAATACATACACACACACACACACACACACACACATATATATATATATATATATATATATATATATATACACACACACACACACACACACACACATACATACATATATATATATATATATATATATATATATATATATATTATATAATTTATTTGAAAATTATAACTTAAATATGCTTATAATCTTCAGAAAAATTATATTTGTTCTACTCTGTATTGAGCACTCTTTTAAAAAGTAGTATTTTTTGGGTTATTGGAATTTATTCTGTATACACTAATCCTATACTTGGAGATATATATATGAGTCCAGACAGTCCTTAAAACTTCATTCAGTTATAATTTATTTTATGAATATACAAAAATATATTCATCTCTTTAGACCAACATTTTCTTAACGAATGAAGTCAATTTATCCATACAAAAGGAAAAGGAAATGAAAAAAGAAAACGAAAAAGTTTTTATATTAAAAGTGGAAGAAAATTATTTATTAAGAAAACATTGGTTTGAAGATATAAATATATTTTTGTATATTCATGAAATAAATTATAACTGAATAGATTTTTAAGGATCATCTGGACTCATTATTAAATTGTTCTGTAATTTACATTGAGCTCTCTCTTTGGATTAATGTCCTCCATGGAATTATCCCTACTAATTATCAATTGATATATATATATATATATATATATATATATATATATATATATATATATATATATATATATATTAGAGGAGAGTGATTTGGGGAAAAAATGAAAGGAAGCAAAAGGTGATAAAGGCCCTTTTATTAACAAATCAAACAATGAAGGAGATGTTGGATGGAGTGGGGAGGGGAACCACTGACAGGAACAATTATCACTCAAGCTCAAAAATAAATGTCTTTATTGAGGTGTCATTAAAAAGACTTTCTTTGACTGAAATTTTACAGATGAAAAACTACTTGAACATGTCAGAGTATTTTTTTTTTCTACAATCCTTTAAAAAGCCTTCACAAAAAAAAGACGAGCCTTCATTATGGTGGTGCACCTGCCCATTACTCATGTTATCAAAGTGTTTTTCATTGACAGTTACCAAATTGATGGCTTGGGAAATCCAAACCATTGATTTGCACAGCAAACTTCCCTTGATATTACAACCACAGATTTTTTCTTATGGGGGGGGGGTCATAATAAGAATGTGATTTACAACAGAAAACTCAAAATACTTAAGAAATAAGAGAATTTTGTTGAAGCAGTTTCAATTATGCATCAGTACTTCTTCAGTAATTACCAGACTACTCCAGCTATGCTCTACCTTTACAAGATCCAGGTCAGATGGAAAATGAAGCCAGTCTGTCATTTAAGAGCCATGCATGATACAAGCTTGGGTGATCATGTCTCTTTCAATCTATGACTGACTAGGCAGAAGTTTTTCTCACAATAGGTTGCTATTTCTTTCTGTGGTAGATTGGTTGCCAACCCAGGTTAAAGGACCCAATCTGTCCTGCTATTTAACCCATACCTGGAGGAAGAAGAGATGGATTCATACTTTCCCCAAGGGTATTTGTGCATAAGCGAATGTAACGAACCCGACTGGAATTCAAACTCAGCACTTATTTCTATTTCTGAGCTGATATCCATGACCCCACAACACTAAATGGCGTGCTGTTGTCATATCTAGGCTGAAATTGCCCATTCCTCACTTTCTAGACTTGATAGATTTCAAAAGTATCTATGCTGCCTTATGGGTGTTTTCCACCCTACAACCTCTTTCCACACAGACAAAACATTGCAAGCCACTATTTTCATGGCAAATCTTCTGACGATTGACATTCCTTAATTCCACCAGTTCTAACCTTCACAGCAAAGACCTGCCATGGCTTACAGCTACATCAAATTGAAACACCAGTTCCCATACAACCACCAAAGTTAAGCAATATTGAGCCTGGTCAGTACCAAAATGGGTGACCACTTGGGAATAACAGATGCTGTAAGCTTTGATGTGCAGGTGGTGTAATGGATATTGATTCTGAATTGTTGTTACAGTTGGATTCATCATATCCATTTCCGCGCAAATACTCTTGGGAAATGTATGAATCCACCTCTTCTCCCCCAGTTATGGGTTAATTAGTAATACTGGTATCATTAAATTGAGGACACATGGCCTAGTGGATAAAGATGTTGGTTAGATCCAGTGACTAGACCCAAAGAGATATGAGTTCAATACCAGGCCACAGCAGTGGTGAACCAAAAACTTGGAGGGTTGAGTTAAAGGGAAATAACTAAGATATCCAAAAGAGGTAAGGTACGTGGAACAAGAACAATCTACCCGTGTGGATGAAATAAAGAGTTCAGTTCAAAATTCCAATCATCTGAAGAAGGCCGGAGTGTACAACATCTGCAACATTATGAATATGGCAATGAAGATGAGGATAACTGTCCGAATAATGTAAATAATGCAAGTAATCATAATACTTCAACTCAGAGATATAGACAGATATATTTAGAGACATAGACATAAAGACCGGAGCGTATAACGGCCGAAACGTTGTGAATATGACAATGAAGATGAGGATAATGGTCGGGATAATGTAAATAATCATGATACCTCATCTCAGAGATATAGACAATTTTCTTTTTTTTTTCTTACATATATATACAAATCCCATTTACTTTAAATGCCAAATATAATTTTTAAAATTAAACCTGTAACCCTAGTATAATATACAACTGCATCAAGATTGTGATAAGCAGATAATTTAAGCCACATATCGGTCAGTCTGTACTCAGACCCTAACGATTGCGTTGTGAGGGATAATATGTATATTTATTAATATATATATATATATATATATATATATTACATGAATCATTCATACAAAAATGTAATGTAAATTGAACTGCACCACATACTTGATATATATATATATATATATATATATATATATATATATATATATATATATATATATATATTTAACAAATTTTCTTCTAGGCATGTCTGATTGAATAAATTACAGACATTATGTCTGCTAATTTTAATAAAATCCATTCATACTCACGAATAGCCTTCCGAGTATTGATGTTAAAGGATGAGAGAAATGTACTATAGCTGTTTAAATTTATTTTCATTTCCCAAGTACTTTTGATCTTCTTCCAAGATTATCTTCAGGGGGGCAAGTAGTATAAAACTATATGTTGTTCATTAGTACAAGTATTTATACAAAGTTGTGTGTTGTTATCCATTACCATAATTTTTTTCATTATGCTTTTAAAGGCAAAATGGTTGAAAATATGCTTGAGCGTTCATTAGAATGTGAAAAAATTTTGGCCATTTTGACTACTGGTTTTCATCAGGTTGTGATAACAATCACCAAAATGAAGACAATATTCCAATATTCACATTATTTGCACTCAGATTATTGTCCTCATCTTTGTTGTTATTATTATCACATCTCAGCCATTGTGGCTTCTGGCGTTCATGAGGTTGTGACAATAACAACAAAATGAAGACAATATTTTCAATATTTACATTATTTGCACTCAGATTATTGTCCTCATCTTTGTTGTTATTATTATCACATCTCAGCCATTGTGGCTTCTGGCGTTCATGAGGTTGTGACAATAACAACAAAATGAAGACAATATTTCAATATTTACATTATTTGCACTCAGATTATTGTCCTCATCTTTGTTGTTATTATTATTACATCTCAGCCATTGTGGCTTCTGGCGTTCATGAGGTTGTGACAATAACAACAAAATGAAGACAATAGTTACATGTGGACTATTGTCCTGATCTTTACTGTTATTATAACAATATTTCATTTGTGATAGTAACAACAAAGATGAGGATAATAGTCCAAATGTGAATAAAGTAAATAATAATAACATGTCATCCTAGAAATTCAGACTGTAAATATTTCAATGTTTATTAACATCACCCTTGTTCTTTAGAACCAAAATTACATACAAGCAAACCTGGCAGACATCATCTTTTACTTGGTCACTCAACTTTGGCTGTTTGTCTGCACCTATTTTGGGAGTGGGATAGTCTGATGTAAGTATAATTTGTTGGTCTTCAGTTAGAGGAGGTGGGTTTATTGATATTCTGCAACTCACCATGAATGTGACACGTTCCTGAAACAACACCATCAAATCCATTCAAATTAGCACCTTCTCACTGTGTATCCTTGCTTGAGACATAACAGTACCTGTCTTGGTGTCTATGATTATAATCAACCTCTCACCTTTTCTGTCTTGTATTAAACTGTTCAGTGGAGCTGAGATGAACGTAGAGTCATATCTTTTTTGTTTTGTTTTCCTGTGAGCTCTTATTTATTTTTGGTGTTTTAGTGACTGTCAATGACTAACTGTGTTTGTACTCCTGCCCACTTGTGGGTTTCATATCTGTTGAAATCTTATAAGTGCAACTCCTGTTCAGGTACCCAAACAAAATAGTGGCCTAATTATTAGTATTTCTGCTGTGACATTACTTCATTAGGTAAAATTATATTGCGTTACCACGTGTCATACTAGTTCTCGATTTCGTTTATATACATGATTGCTGTGCAGAAGTCATTTTATAGTTAAATTAGAATTTTTGTTTTTCCCATTTATATGACAAACATAACCTTTTTAATTCTGACCCCCTAATTTTCTCTTGTCAGTCAGTGTCACTTGGCTTAGATGTCAGACATTATAATAACTGAGTATAAAGGAACATGGAGACTGTGATGTAGCCTAATGATAATATTAGCCATTTCCCTATAAGGAAACATTTGACATTCACCAACCGAGCAGCCAGGACTGTTTTCATTTAAAATTTATAAAATCTTTCTCTATAGCAAAGAAAATGGCAAATTAACCTCATCAAACCAAGCGACAACATGTCTTGCATATCCTACAATGGAAAATGTGGCGAAAAAGAAAGTTACTTGCCAAAAAAAGGGTATGTATTCTGCATGATTTACTGAAGACAGAATATTCAAATTAGAAAAAAGTCAGTCGCAGGAGTTGCCATGAAAGTATTTCGGATATGCTAATATTTTGTGTCCTCTTTCATTTGTTGACGAATGGAAAAAATGCTTGGCCATTAAAAGCAGTTAGTGTTCTTGAATTGGGGAGACAGAAAAAAAATTGAAAAATTTGAATTACCATATACTTGTATTCTGATTGGTCCTCATATGTTACTATAGCAAAGAAAACAGCAAATTACATGATCAAACCAAGCGACAGTGTGTTGCGTGTATCCTACAATGGAAACTGGCAAAAATGAAAGTTACTTGCTGAAAAAAGGGCACGTATTCTGCATATGCTGAAGACAGTATATTCAAATCAGAAAAAAAAGTCAGTCACAGGAGTCACCATAAAAGTATTTTGATATGCTAATATTGTGTGTCCTCTCTCAGTTGTCAATGAATGAAAAAAAATGCTCAGTTGATAAAAGCAGTTGGTGTTCTCAAACCAGGGATCAAAGACAAAATTTGTGTATTTAGCTACCATATTTATCAGTGAGTGAGTTATTTTCCTGACTAATTACGTGCCTTGTGATTTGTGACTTAGTACCTGCAAATCAAGATTTTGACATTTCTTTCTGCCCCTGATATATGAGTCTGAACTTGCGATTTGTTCTCTTCATTGTGGAAGTAATCTGCAACAAATATTTTCTTTGCAATCCAAGAACTCTTAAACTCTCTTCAAGCTCTTTTTTAGGAAATTGGGTTTCTCAACTCCAGTAGCTGTTATTGCTCTTTCCAGTATTAATAATGAGGATTTCCTTTCTAACCTTTTGTTTGAATTGGTGGTGAATATGAACATCTTAATTATGTCATTATTTTCTCTTTGATTACATGTGCTATCCATTTTAGTTGTTGCTGCTGTTGGTAGTCCTCAAGTGATGTGATTTCTGTTATCTGGTACAGTTCTTTCTTTGTGATTCTGTAGCAGAAGTCCACAATTTTCAAAGAAAGATGATCTTTGCCAAGGCCCTCAGGTTTCATTTGTTCAAAATCTTTTTTCAACATTGATCTTAGGAAGCAGTTGTATACAGCTGAGAGTTTAGATATTTCTGAAAGGGTTTGGCGCCATGAATGACATCCATATGAAAGTCTCATTCAAAGAGTGATGATCTTTGCCAAGGCCCTAAGGTTTCATTTGCTCAAAGCCTTTTTTCAACATTGATCTTAGGAATCGGTTGTATACAGCTGAGAGTTTAGATATTTCTGAATGGGTTTGGTGCCTTGCTGACCATCTTGTCATGCCCAGTTGTCTTAGTTATGAAGATTGTCGTCGTCTTTGGCAGCAGAATTACAGGGAAGAATCCAAGAATTAGAAATGAGAGCTTACAAAAACCATCCGAGGCATCTCCTATGTATTTTTATCAAATTTGCTCAAGTTAAATTTGTTATAAAACATCTGAGACATCTCCACACAGACTACATCCCAAATTATGTAGTGCAAGATACAATCAGACAAGAAAGATGCCCATTCGAAGACATTACATATCCAGTGTGTAGAAACTGGTGAAATAGTATAGACACATTACAAAAGCCAACAATTGTTTCACTGCCGTTTTTCAAAAGAAGAAAAAAATGGGCTGACATTGTCACTGAGTGGATTGAAAGAATCTTTGTAGACACACAGACATTAGTGCACAACTGAGACTGAGGGTGGTGAGATGGTCAGCTGTGCAGAAAACCTAAGACCACACCCAGAATTAGAGCAAAGAACCTAAGCATTGGGAACGAGATGCTACAGAACCATCTGATGCATCTTGTACGTAGCCTGCATCCCAAATGACACAGTGCAAGACACCATCAGACAAAAAGCAGGCATTTTGGATAACTTCATCCCCCTTGTAGAAATAGTTGACATAGTATGGACATATTACAAAAGCCAACAATCTTTCCACTGCCTTCTTACAAGGTATCACCTTTGGTAAAAGAGGAAAAAATGGGTTGACATTGTCACTAAGTGGATTGAAAGAATCTTTG